CAGCTATCAACAAGGAAATCCAATTAAAATTGCTGAAACCACATTTAGATTTCATGATCCATCTCCCCGATATAAACTTCCTTTTTTTTTTTTTTTTTTTTAAACTAACAAGCGCATACCCTCTTATATAACATTTCTATAAAGGCTCACTTTTTATTTTTAAGCCTCTGATTTCCACATTAGCTTAAGATATCTCTTTTAAGTGCTACTTCTCAAAGGAACTTCACATGAAACCTATTTTAAGGCATTCATTAATTCACCATTGGTGAGGCATAAAGCATACTAAAAATGAAGTCATTATTCGTTTTAGGATTATTTATGTCATATGCAGTGGTGGGGGATATTTTGCAGAGCTCTGTTTCCTTCCTCAATTTCATTCCAACAGCTTGGTGCACTTATTAATTCTTATGGCTTTCATTATTTAAGTGAAGATGAAGTATAGTCCTCCATTTCCTTTCCTGAGGTCCTTTTTGTCTTCTCCGACTAATTTATCCATCTGGATGCATGCTCAGCCTTTGTCACGATTCACAGATAAAGCAGAAACCCATTAGTTTTTGTCCCATTTATTGTATCTGTCTATCTGAACCACTGGTTTAGTCCTGGCCATGCAAGTTATTTTATGTGGGCACATCCCTAGAACCAGGGAGGTAAATAGGGAATCAGCACTGCAACACAGCAGCTCGGGTAAGCACTTGATTTTCTTGCACTTGAACACAGTTTATGGCTGATTTTTAACATCTGCCTGAATCAGGGTCTGGTATTGCAGAAATTGTCGTGTATGTTTTATTCCTTCAGGTTATATAACAGAACCCTGTGTCCTATGCTACAGTAGTCTTTAATCATGTTGTAACTTTGTTTATGGTCATGAAACTAATTTTTTGGGGTTTTTAAGATTTTTTTGTTGTTTGCAATCTCTCATACAATTTTATGTTTTAAAATGTCTCCCCTGGTCTTCTGTTATCATACAGGGCATATTCAGTGCAAAGTTTTACATGGGCACATAGAGCAATTCATCTCAAAATGACATGTTATTTGCTTAATTTGGTATTTCTATTTACAATGACTCTAAATACCCACTTGGATCTTATTCTCAGCTTCCTATTTATTTCTACTGTAGCATCTGGAAAGTTGCTATTCATGTCTTTCTAGCTTTCCCAGTCTGTTCCTTCTGGTGAAAGTGCCCATCTCATCACAGCTGCATTGTGGATTTCCAGAATAATGCAAGCCTTAAAAATATTTAAGTCAACAACTTTTGGATATCCCATTTGTGGACACATTTCTATTTGCAAAAAGTGGCTTTACCAAAGCCTTACTAAAGCTTGGACTTTGGGGGTAAGTATCACCTCAGCTTCTCACAGCTGTCCACTAGTGTTTTAGCCAAAGGCAGGACGAGGACCTTGCTCAACCCCAACATGCAGTTAGGAGACCGAGCTATGAATGAGGCTTGAACAGCGCAGATCTTAACCTCTAGGTCCCTAGATCACCTCAGCCTTGAGTTAAGCCAGCTCTGCACACAGGCATCAAAGAGTCTGTGTGTTTGTGTGTGTGGACAGGCACACAGAGCAGCCCCAGTTCTGCTACCTACTTTGCTCCCTTTATCAAAGCCCTGTAGAGAAAAGCTTGCTGAGGAGGGTACTCGAATGGCCAAGGCTATTGACGGGACAGGAAAACAAAGACATGATGTTATGGCATGGGATAAAAGAAACTTTAAAGTTAAGTTGCAGGAAGGGATGGCAAAACTTCTAGGTTTTAGTCATCAGAATAAGTAACAAGCCTGTCAAAAGAGCAAATGCGATGCCTAAGACTGTCAAAACAGGATGGAGGAGTTAGAAGCATGATTCTTACTAAAATTAGTGGGATGTGTGCATCTATATACCTGGTTGGATTTTAAATCTCAGCCTATAATATTCCTTATCAATCATTTCTTTTCCCTCTTGCAGGCATCTAGGATGGAAAGCATTTTCTCTGACTGAAAACACAAGTTGCCCAGAAGAATTGGAAACAGTGCCAAATTTTTAGGCAGTATACACAGTACATGCTAATTCATTTAAAAACAACTGAAAAACACTTAAAGCCTTGTAAAGGAAATTAAGGAGGCACCAGCATTTGACTTTCGTAGGTGCAAACAAAAACGTGTGATGTTCCTGGTGCACTGTAAAATGAAAGAGCAGAGAAGGACAAAGGCTTTTACCTTCTAAAACAATCTAATCATCCTCTGGAAATACACTTTCCAGTATTTTGGAGTGACTATGTTAACAGAAAATGGGAATGATTAAATAAAGTTAGGCTGATAAATCTCCTGAGCATAACTAACTTATCTTTAAAATCATTGAAGTCAGGTAGCATGACTGGTGTCTCAAATCTAAAAGCTATGACATTGAGAGCAAGGTGATTGAAGCTTGCCGTTCCAAAGCCCTGGGTATATGTTCAGATATTTTCAATGCAAATTTTACAACCAAAGATTTGCATCTAGATAAAAATGATTTCCTCTTTCAGCTCTGTTGGAATCTATGGAAGAGCAAGGGAAGCAATAATAATAGACTTGTAAGTGACTCTGCATCAATCATGGCTAAGATACAAACAAAAAACATGAAAAAAATCTCTTCACAATCAATTTTTACAGTAAAAGAACATCAGAGATGATGAATAGACTTGGTGTCTCAAAAAAAAAAAAAAAGAAAAGAAGAAAAAAATACAACAAAATGCTGGTGCTGACAGAGGTGAGGAGTCCCAACTCCCTATGGAAAGGCCCCTCACTGATCACGGCCACTTCCAGCAGCTCCTATTAAGCACAGACAACCCATTTAAGAAGCACAGCTCATTGCAGCTCTGTGCTAACGCAAGGAGAGACACAGAGAAAGTGGATTCTGATGACAAGGGCCCGAACAATTTAGGGAGTTATATTATGCATTGTACCTAAAAAGCTGACTGGAAGCCAGTGCAGGCTTTATTTAGAAGGAATCATGAACTTCTGCAATTTCATATTGCTTTCAGGAAAGACACAAAAACTATGATGTGTAATTCATCCTTTCTATGAATCTCTAGGGACACTCGACCATAAGTTAAGCACCTAAACAGAAAAAAGTTGTAGATGCTCTAAGACTTTCATTTTTGAGAGTGTCAACAACTATGTATTCAGTAGCAGATATTTGCCCTTTTCAATTAATCATATTTTTTGATCTGGTTCTCTACAGACACTGACTGAATTAAAACAGATGAAAAGCTAGTGGAGTGTCCTTTGCACATCTGAATCACTGTTATGTGTGTCACCACCATTCCTATTAACCACCTTTTTCTCCACACAGAAGTTTAAAGCAAATACTCATTAACTCAACCAAAACCAGGAGATTTTCTAGGACACAAAAACCTGAAGCCACTCCAAATTAACAGTAGATATTCCTGGCAAGCTTCACAATCAGAATAAAAGCAATTCAAAGTCAATTAGCAACTTAAAATGAGCCAGCCTGGCCGACTGTAATTCAACACTAGAAGAAGATAACACAGAGACTGCACTAATTTGTTTCAAATCTGTTTTCCAACATAGAAGTACCAAATGATGCCAGGTTTTGCTATATCTGCTTGCAAACCTGTGTTCTCTATTTCCATAAAAAGAAAACAGAAAAATAATTGGCAGAGCTAAAGAGGCTGCAGTGACCAGACAATACACTCTGCACTGAAAAAAAAGTTACCCTATATTCATCCTATTCTTCAGGAAACAAACAAAAAAAATTCCTGGCAAACATTCCTATGGAGTTTTGTTTGTTCCTCCAGATACCATCTGAGATAGGAGGTCCCCCAAAGAATCTCTCGCTCCTTGGCCAACACAGTGTATCCAAAACTGGCTTTAAGAAAGATATTAGACCACTGATAATTTAAATCTTTTTCTATAGTTAGAATTGTCATTACTAATTATTACTACATACAAATATAGAGCAGAAGCTGTATAATTTAAGTATTTTTATGCAATTGCCTTTTTACTTGCATACCATTTACTTCTCGGTGGCTAACACGCCATTAAATCATCATATTCACTATATAATATTTCTAAACAGGAAGTTTAGAAAAATCACTCAATTTCTGCACTCCAAGACAGGTAATTTGAATACAAATCTGTTTGCTAAAAAGGACAAACAAAATCCAACCTACAGCCACCATGAGTGTTCATCAGTCTTCTCAGAGTAATTCTGTCTGCTGGGAAAAAAAAAATCAGGAACTTTGTTTTATATGATCTGCTGATTTCTCTGTAATTGCAATCTCCATTCAGTATTGTCAATAAAGGTGTCTGGTGCATGGACAGCTTCTTCCCAAAGGCCTCAGCTCCACAAAGTACAGAGGATTCATTTGCAGAGTCACTGAAATACTTAAGCAATTATTTAACTTGAAGTCAGCAAGACTGCTCATTTTAACAAGGCATAACCATAACTTGAACAAGTATACAGCCAGAATTCCAGATTCAGGAAAGTACCCAAGAACTTAGTTCATCTTGCATCCAAGAATAGATTCTTTTTCTCTTTCTTTTCTACCAAGCAGACACTAAAATATGACAGATACAACAGACACCATATACACTCATTAACTCACCAAACTGTCTCCACTTTCAAATACTTCAAAGGTAAAGAGACACAGGAACATAAGGCTACAACTGAGCACCATTAAAAGCAGGTTGGAATTACCTCAGGCTGTCCTCTCCTTGTTTATATTCACAGACAGAAACCAAATTAAAGCACCTTCAGCTGTTCAGTGGGACCTCATGCTCTTCTATCACACCACATTTCTCTGGGAATCAACTACTGCTGTGAACTAGCTGCAAGACACCCAACAGCTGATCCCAGTTTGAGGATAAACTCAACTTCAGGTGCATAAAAACAATCCTTAGAGCAGCCTGAGGATTTTGTCAGAGATGCTTTAAGGAATAGAAAGCACCTCTACAAATCATTTGTTTTTTCCCAAGGAAATATTAGTTCTATTCACATCATTCTTAACAAATGCATGTCCAACCTGTTGTTAAAGACTTCCGGTGCTGGAAATTGCTCCTATCTTCCCTGGGCAGTGCTGTGCTTTGCTTCACTACTTCACTTTGAATATATTAGATGTCTCACAGAAGTGTCTCTCTTTTGAACATAAGCCTATTAAAATACAAACAAAATCTAAAGCTATCAAAGGCCTGCAGTAAATAGGTAGAATAGTTTATTCCTTCTGACTTCACATTCTTCATAGATTTGAAAATTTCCTGTCCCTTTCCATAATCTTCACTTCTCCAGACTAAATAGATCCCCTTTTCCCTGCTCTTTTCTTAGGCTGTTTTGCCTAGGTCTCTGATCATTATCTCAGTAATTCTGTGATCCTCACATTTCAGCCTCTTATTTGTACTCCTGTGAAAAACAAAGTGATTTTGAGGTCTGTCTGAATAAAAATATGCCCGTAAGGCATTTTAAAAAAATAATTTGTGTAACAATGTACAAGTTACAATTACATCTAATTACGATGTAACTATCACTCCACAGGAACCCAAGATTTAGCCCACCTGGTGCAGATGAGCAGCTCTTCAGAATGCTGCGTGTTCTCAGAGGAATCCATCCCTGGTTGCATTGCACACAGTGATTTGTTTAGAGAAAGAAGGAGAAAGCTTTGGCTAAAGAATAACATATCAAAACACCCAATATTTTAATGAAAGAAACTGAATATCCACACATTTGCACTTCTGTACAGGTTTTGTGATATATATATATATAATTTTAAAGCTGTTTACAAATAACATTTAATGCTTCAAATATTACATAATGTTGATATTATTTTTCTAGCAGAAATAAATATATTGCACTTAAAAAGAAACTTTTCATTAGATGTTGCTTCATAGTTTATGTTCATAACTTCTTTTTTCTTTTTCCATAAAAAGATTTCCCCCCATCCCCACCCCGTACACACAAACACACACTTCAGTACATGGTGAATGTGCTCACGCAATGCATTATAAACAACAAAGTCAACACAGCAAACAGCAGAACTGTGGTACATTCTGTTAAAGAGGTTACATCCAGTTTTTACCTTCCTTATTTTTAAACAAAAGCTTCCCTCCTGTTTCTGAAGGTACAATTAAAAAAGAAAAGTGTTTAAATGTGCTAAAGGTAAAATACAGTAAACTGTATTTTTTGTCTTTAAACTAACTTTAAAAGTTGCTTGCGAGTTTACTTAAATCACTGCTTAGTTTCCTTTTAACAAAGTAAAATAAATGAAAAGAGGTTGTCATTTTATAAAATACAGGCTATATTCAAGGACAGTTTGTTAAAGAGTAATTATAAATCCTCTGGGCAGCAAGTACATGGTTACTAGAAAAAAAAAAAATCTTATGTAGCAGAAAAGGCTCGGTTAGGAATATGGATAGTAAGAACCCCCCAGAAACAAACATAATCTTGCCATGAGTTAATGTCACCCATCTGCAGATGATCAGCGTAAGCGCTGTGGGCACAACGACCTCCCAGCTAATGAGCTGTACGTGTTACATTGATCTCGCTACTGCTTTTCTGTCCGTGGGTAAGTTAGCACAATTTACATTAAGTACCAGTTTTGGAAAGTTGCCTGACTTTTCACCATAGTTTTCACTGATATTGCTATTTCTGTGTAATGCACACACATACATAAAGAGCAGCCACCACACTTAAAACTCTTTGGGGGAAGATTTCCTATTTGTAGACTGTAGTGCTATTACACAATTACCCTTGGACCTGTAAAGCAGCATTCTCATTAGAAAAGCACTCCTTAATGCTGCACTGCTATCCACGTTCTCCTTGCTTGCTTGTCAGATCACACCTAGAAGAGAACCCTTGAAACTGGTGGAACTGAATTTGTATCTTGGACAGACCCTCACACCACATAAAGTAATACCAAAAGTCAAACAGCCAGATTTATTTTTCTAGATGCCTAGCTTCTCTCAGGGTTCCAAAAATAAAATAATAATAATAATAAAAAAAGACAGACAGATGCATCTAAGTAAGTTCTGTTAGTCTCCAAGATGATTTTGTTGGGTAAAAGACCTGAGGCTGTTGAATACCTGTGGATAAAAGGGTAATCCAGAAAACACCCAAATGCACTCGTAACACTTTGCAGGATAATCTTATCATTCTCTGTGAAAAGCACATTCGGGCATGTTCTCTCCACCCTTCTTAAAAAAACAACACAAAAACAGCACCAGCTTACTGAGCCAAGAAAGCTCATAAAGGTGAAGAGCACTTCACATGGGATATAAATGTAAATTAGATTGGAAAATAAACTCTAGATTATATTTGGCATTCCTAGACCATTCGCCAGCAACAGATGTTCTGTACTGAAAGTGATATAATTATGACAAGCAGTACAGCAACTCCTTAAACAAATTACTGAGTTATTGTTAAAATAGAACAGATTGTTTTAGGCAAAGTGATTTCACTCTTTAAGTCATTAATAGCAAATTTACATTCATTTTCTTCCAACTGTGAAATCAATACTAAAGATGCAGCGTCGGTTTGTGGTCCTTCCTGTAGAGCATTGCTGGTATCTCTAGAGTCACCATCCATACGGCTGGACTTCATTTTTGGATAAGAAAGTTGCATGAAATCCTGTCTCCGTTACAGATAGGAAATTTACCACTGACTTCAGCGGGGCAGGAATTTTATCCGTGGAATCATTCACATGCTGGCTATTCCCCATAGGAAGCTGGGAGGGACAGGGAGCAGAAATTCCCCAAGACAGCACAACTTTTCCAGCATGTGCCCTGTGGTTTGTGTGCATTTGATTCCTCCCAGTGCAACTCTATATAATTGGTTTTGGAGACTGGATTGTGAGTGGAAATTAGGAAACATACTTGTTAACCTTATTCCTAGGGGAGGTTCTAAAGAGCTGTCCTCGTTCCTTTGACACCAGCTCTGCTTGGGACCTGCCTGTGATTCTGGAGCAGGGGAAACCCAGTGGGTTTCTGATGCAAAGGACCTCATGGAGGAGAAGTACAGGCCAGGAAACCAAGGAGGGATTTATTCTGTTCAGCAAAATCAGCCTGTGGATTTATGTTTTCTTGCATTTAAAAGTCTTGCAGATGGCTTTGCACAGCCCTTTCCTTGGTGAGCTATAATAAAAATCTCATCACAGAGAATTTGAGTGAGAATTTGGCCTTCTTATGTTTTTATATAGGGAGAGTCTACAGACATATTTTTCTTTCAGACATGGATCATATGTCATTCCTGGTGAAAAACATTTGTCTTTTCATTTAATATTCTTGCAAATGATAATGTCAAATCCTGTTTCATTGTTTCAGGAAAAGCCAGCATAATTTTCTCTGAAAACAGCATCAGAGAAATTTGTGCCAAATACTGATATTTAGAGGATAAGGTCCAGAAAAGAGCAAAAGAGATTGTATACTTTATTTTTCTGGACATGCTTCATGAAGGGAGGGTAGGACATTTCATGAGCAGGCTTTATATAACTTCAAAATTTACCTACATCATTGTGCCTGTTCCAACCATTTCTGAGTTGTCTGAAAGCTGCCTACTTACTTGATTGCTTTTTGATATAAGTATCAGTATTGAAGCCACGGGCTTGAACTCTGAGCCTGAACACTGAATCTCCTGCAATTCCAGGTAACTATACGGTTCTGCAGAAGGAAAGAGATGCAATAAATAAAACAGAATTTCTCACAGGCTTTAGTGAAAATCGTCATGGGATCTTACCTAAGAATGACAAATACAGCTACATACATCTCTTATGGAAGTCAAGGGATTAAAATTTCCTTTCATATCATCCTTAAAATTCTTTGAAGACCTATTTTCTTGTGGGACCAATATCGTCTGATTTCCTGAAAACCTGCTTTCATATAAAAGCAGGTCCTGAGCAGACAGAGGGAGTGCCCTTTGCAACACGCATTTTTCTGATGATGTGAGTGCCTGGAGCAAAATCTGATGGTTTGATACATCAAGCCAAATTCAGTGTTTAATTTTAAGCCCTTTAAGTACTGCAGAGCTTGGCTCATTATACAAACTGGCTCACTATATGGAATTCCTCACCAGCTCATTTGGCTCATTATATGGAACTCCTTGCTCCAGATCCAGAAACTATGAAGGGTCTCATTGCTTATCTTTGTTTACCTGCAGATTGCAAGAATTGCAAACTGCCTTAAGTTTTGTCGTTGCTGTTGTTTCTGTTCAACTGTGAGTAAATTTACACTAGGCAAATATTGTAGGTAACAGATGATCAAAATGGCCAATTTCACAAGATTTGAAATTCAGCTATTGGAAAATATACAGAGATAGCCTTTACCTATGGGATGTATCCACTGGCCTAACAGGAATTGAGGACAATTCTAGGAGGAGGTCATAACTATGTATAGCTGGGCATGTAATGTAAAATAATGGGTATATGTATGGCTCGCTTTTCACTTTACTGGGATGGCAGGTGGGTGACTCAGTGTCTTGCACTCTCCCTACTACCAGATGATTTTGGGGATGCTATCAGGGATTTTACTAGAAATTGGTAAAAAGTAGTGCTAAACAAGTCTGATTACCATTCTGTGTTCTATCTCTACACAGATCTTTACTATACGAGACTGTATTGCTTGTTTTTTAGTTTCTGTAGAGTGCGAGAATTGAGGTCATTAAAGCCTCTTCTATAACTTGGATGCAACTATACACAGCAACTCTGTGTTGACTTCTTATTTACAGTGAAATCCCAGCTCCTGGTGTGCCAAAACCAGCATCATATTGGTGCTCTTTTCAACGGTGTAAAGGATTCCTGCCAGCTCTCTGCAGAGAAGTCATTTTTTTCTGATGACACTAAGCCTGGTCCTTCTGTTGCATGAGACAACAAATACTAGAAAGTGATGACTGTACTTCAATTAAAATGAATTCCTAATCACTGACTCAAAAAAGCACTTAAATTACAAGCAAAGTTCTGAAAATCAGAAGAAGCAGGAAGATATTCCAGTGCCATTTATCTTTCATCAATCTGTTGCTTATATCTACGGAGAAAGATAATAGGCGGAAATTCTTTTATCTTGGTATTTGCAGCTGGACACAGGTCTTCAGTGCCAAGTGCAGCAGCAAATAAAAGCTTTGATTTAAGGATTTGATGACTTTTGGATTCCCAAGTTTAAGTAGCAGATTTTTTAAAATCAGCACTTTCCTTCATCATACCTAACAGACTGTTAAATTGCTCCTCTTGGAGCCTGGGATAGGCTTATTTATAGACTTAAGAACAGAATACATAGAATAGAGTAGAATCCTGTACACAGTTCTTTCTGGAGCAGATAGAGTTTTGTGAAGAAAACAAAAAACAACAACAACAACAAAAAAGCCTTGTTAATAATTTCCTCTTTGGAG